TAACTACTTGGTAAGCTATAAATTTTACTTCAGTTTACTTTTCAAGTAAATTCGAAATGTTCCTGATTCTTGTCTTTAGGTGTATATCTAAATCTCCTCGAGATATCAATAAGTTGAAAGTAGACGGTAAATGTAACTTTGTATTCTCTAATCTCAACGGATTCAAAACCCATTAAAATCACTGAAATATCATCCCGTCCTCCTTTGTAGGTCAAATGGTTTACTTTTCGAGAATGATATCATCTGAAGTTACAGAATTGAATGGGCGAAAATTTTCTTTGATATATTGCTGTATTTAGAAACCGATAACTTTTAGAACAAATCGATGGAAATTAAAAAAAGAAATATGCTTTTTGAATATTCTGGTCAAAGAAGGCTTGAAAAATCATTTAACAATAATCATTTCACAAAGTTAACTGACAATGTAAAAACTTTAATAATGAAATAAATAATCATTTATTCACTGTTAACAGGTTAAGTGGGTAGGACGACAATGAATTTGGCCGACGTAAATCGGAGTGGCGGAAATTTGTTTTATTTTAATGAAGTGTCTGCTTCCTTGTTAATTTATTTACTACATTTCAATACAACATTTTCGTACAATTGAAATTAATTACGTTTCTGTTTATATCCAATTTATATTAGATTCAAATTAAGATTTCCATTTATTTTTACGTAATTGTTTATTGCCTCGATCAGATTATGCTATGGTAGAAACAAGTTTGAGAAAGAAACTATTAAAAGGAGGATTCAGCTTGGCTGGACAGCGTATGGAAAACTCTGGTCGGTTTTTTGTCACTCATACTACAAAGTTTGAAAATAAAGGTTTTATGATATACGGAGCCGACACTTGAACACTCATGATACGGTTAGTCCTCGAGTTAATAATAATAATAATAACGCGCACACTCAACATAACCCCCACTACACTACACATAGACAACCACAAATTACACCCAAACTCACGAGATAAATAAATGCAGGCCATACAAATATTTCTCCCGGCCCGGGAATCCAACCTAAGACCTCTGCGTGGCAGTCCGGCCACGGAGTATGTTATAAGTCGCTCAGCGAGCTGTGCTCGGAGTTTCTCTGAAGGATAAGATTCGAAATGGGGTTATCCGTCAGAGAACCGAGGTCGTCGACATAGCTGGTAGAATAAGCTGAAGTGCTGCCACCGGTTCTTCAACAGATATCTGTTGAAGAACCTGTAACCAGTAAGGAAAACCAGTTCTTGAGTCGACACCTCGGCTCGTCAAACGCAGTTTTAGTTTTAACATACCCAGAGACGGGACAAACAACTCGTGCACCTAGTGTTAATGCAACACGCCTCTCCATTGTGCCACTCAAATTTGAGGGACAATACCGCTATGCCTGTCACCCTGAGGTATAAGTTGACATGTCTCATGTACCTGTAACTTCACCAGCACGCTTATCCTTCAAAACTTAATTTGTAAGAGGGTCTCTGGCCAAATGGCATCCTATAAATTAAGTGACGTGACGTGAGTGACCATCTGCGAAAGGCTGCTGGCAGCACATGGACACGAAAAGCTGATAACCAGGCGAAATGGTGCATATTTAGGCCTATACCCAGCAATGGACTGCTATATGTAATATATAATTGTTTTTATAGACGTTCTTTAAGTTGATTGATTCGAAGTAATAGGGCTTCTTGTAAAAGAGGTCGTCCAGGGAAATACTGCCACCTTACTTACTCTGCCGCCAAGCGGTAATGTGAGTATTACTGCGTTCCGGATTTGAAGGGTAAGGATGCTGGCGAAATTACATGGAAATTACAGGTACATGGACTTTTCAACTCAGGTTGACAGGCATAGCGGCAGTGCTCCTCAGATCTTTGCGATTTAAAACTCTGCGTGGCACTGCAACTGACATAGACAGGCGTGTCATTTACCACAAGGCCCACGACTTGTTCGTCATAAAAAAAAAGAATATTTTTAGTAACAGTACTTATATTCCAGTTAAAATACAAGTTCAAACGTAAAAAAACCGTTGAAAATAAATATAAAGGTTGATTTAAATAATCTTTTAATTAAATTAATTAAATTTATTGCATGTCAGAATGTTTCACCATTATGATATTAAATTATTTTTATGTGAAATTACTCCACTAGTTTGTTATAACTATTAATATCGAACTCTTAGAAAAAAATAATCCTTCGATACGGCTGGATTTGAATCAACGTATTCTAGCAAATCGTGCCAGACATTAAACTAACTAAGTCACGGAACGAACCAGAGAACCTTACAAATTTTTCTATGAGCTTTAGTGTTGGGTAGAACATGAAATTAACATGATTTTGAGGGAGTACCGCATTTGAAACAATGAGGCGGTACAATGTCCTACTTCAAATGAGGCGAGGTAGTGTAAGAATGTTTGCACCTACGGCAATGGCTCAACAGACAGGGAATATTAAGTACATTTTCATAAATGGATGGTATCACGCAATTGGATGACTTAAGTGTTATGATATAGTATAAATAAATGGTAATTTTATTTAGTACTGTAGTAGTATGATCATATGATGTAAAATCAGCTAAAAAGCAGGTAGTGCAGGACCAATCGTTGTTGCATTTATTGAATTCGAAGCGAATTTTTTATGACATGAGGTATTGTGACAAACTAACCAAGCGAGTGGTACAAACGAGTTGCCTCATATATAAGTAACTATAAACTGATGTGCTTGTTGCAGATCTTAGTATTTCGCCATCTGTGAGAAACCTATTTCTCATAAACTTTTAGTGTTGTTCTAACACCTGAAAAATATATGCCATATTGATTTCTCGTTAAAAACCAAAAGACGCCGCCACAGACGAATTTACGATCTGCGCACATGTTTAGTGGATACATTAATAATAACGGAGGTGGTAAAATTAAATTGAAGAATATAATCCTATTCATCCTTAAACAAGAGCATGCAAATATACAATATATTACGAAATTGGGTCGGCTAATATAACATACATGCATTATATATTGAAAATGAACCTATTTCTTTGGATCTAAATCGTGGAGGTATATTTGCACTGATTTAAACTATCATGATTTTCACACATAATTTGATATTAAATTCGGGACGTAATGATGTACAAAAACATATTTTATTTACCCCGACATTTCGGACGTATTGCAACGTCCAAGGTCTCGAAGGGACTGAAGAGGCGGGTGTCAACATCTTCTAGCCGTGCGAGTTTTTCTAACTACCCGCACTTGGTCTTCATTATTTATTTGTGTACTAGGGTTGTGACTAGACCGACACACAACAATCACGATATCCGGCGACTCGTCGGGCGATACTTGATGTCCATTAATTACGATTAAATCACGAATTTAAATCAAAATATAGGTATATTTGTTTTTTCAAACAAACCAACGTTTCGGGCCTTTTATAGATCCCATGGTCACGGCTGAGTCAGATGGTAAAGTTATCAACCAATTATGTCCAATATTAATGCAAACCACCCTATTCTGCACTATAGTTACAACAGTATTTGAGTAATTTAAATACTTTGGATGGTCGTCTTATTAGACGCAGGAGTAATATTTAAAAGTATTTTTAAGTCATGTTGAAATTTGGTTTATCAGTCTTACATGGCCTTAATCATTCTTCAATACGAAACGTTTTAGGTTTTTGTTACATTTGTTATTCAGTATGCGTCACACAAAAATCTCCTTCAGATGAGATGGTACGTGATGATAAGGTTGATGACGTTGCACACTTGGAATGTAATTGTTCTGTTCACCCTTGTAACAAGGGCACATAAGATAAAATGGAAAACAAGCACGATTGTAATTCTTTAAGATAGGACTCACCAATATCCAAAGTCGCAACAGCATCTTGCACCAATCGATACGTGTCTCCGTTAATCCTCAGGAAGTCCACGCACCCTAGCAGTCCGTCCGACAAACCAAGCTTGCTTTGAAGACCTGTGGTGTTGCCAGCCCCACCCACCCAGACTGGTTCTCGGAAGGTCATCCGGGAGAAAAGACCCTGAGGACAAGGAGAATTTATTTATATTTTAGGTGTGCGTCTTGCAGAGATCACTTAGCAGCATTCTACTTTTGGCAGTTAGTCGGTGATGATTTTATACCGATTTATCGGATATCGAAGTTATAACAGGTAAAAGAACTAATATTAATTGCTATTTCGGTTACTACTCTAGCGAACCATAAAGTTTTTAATGCCTGGGTCTGTCATTTAAAAAAAATAAACAACTTCAATAATACGTCACGACAATCGTGTGTGTTATTGTTTGGGCTGGTGATTTCGGTGTTTATTTATTGAAAACATGCCGTAAGTAGCATTTTTTAAGTTTACCCTGAATATAAATGTTTATAAACTATACTTTAAGGAGTAATTTCATGGTAAACGTTAGAACCACTCAAACGGAATATTATCATATTTATCCAAGTACACCAAAAATTTCATTCGTACTTTTTAAGTGCAGGATTTGCGGTGTATTACTGCATTGTATTTGAGATGTTTTTGTTGGTAGTACGGAGGGTATTTATTTAACAATGCAGAGTAATAATTTTTATTTATTAAAACATGTATTTAAACTGAATGCTTTTCTAATTTGCGAAACCAAATAGCCGCGATTTTGCGGTAGGAGGAGCGCATCGCGTGAGCGGTTATATGAAATTCATTTATTTGTGAAAACACAGGTTTATAACATGGTCATAAAAGTCTGAACTTTCGTCCGATGTCGGATTTGAGCGTTTCGAATACACGTTCCGAAATTTAAATGTAATTTCGTCCGATAATGTTTACGGGCATAATAACATTTAACCACGAAGCTGATGAACCATTTTTTTTATCTAACAGGGTGATTATTATCCCATATACGCCCTAAGGTTGGGTATAGTTACCACCGCTTTGGCTTAATGCGTGTAAGGGCTCACGCGTTTTATTAAATTTATCATGCAGGTTTCATAACGATACTATTTTTAATAAAACTACACATGATTCAGAAATCGCATCTTGAGAATTAGACTTTTTGTGGAATATGCAAAATATGACTTTAAGTTGTGACGTTTTTACATTTTTCATGCACCTGATGGTAAGCTACACGCCTGTCCATAACAGTTGCAGTGCCACTCAGAGCTTTAAATCGAAAAGATCTGAAGGGCACTGCCATTACGCCCGTCGCCCTGGGACATAAGTTGACAAGTCCTTTTTTTATTTGATATTGTTTAGTATTGTGTATAAGTTTTTCTTTTAATTGCTGTATCTCCTCCTATTACAGTAGGTATGTCCCGTTCTAGATCTTAGGGAAAGAGGGAATGGCTGAAAACCAGTGTTGAGCAAGGCTTACGGAGCTGAGCCAATAAGAAGCTGAGCCTTTTGCCTCAGACCTTTATATAAAATTTTTATACATTATGTTTTTGTATCGTTATTGAGACAATAAATCTTTTTATTATTATTAAGTCTCCACGTGCTTGTAATTCCACTAGCACCCTTCCCTTCATAACCGCAACACAGTAAGGAACCCGACACACAGGAGGAGAAAGTTTTCGCGCGGCGGCCACGCGGTCGAAGAGCGGACTCCGCTCGGCGACCGCGTGGCATAAGACAAGCTAGTGCCTTCCAGCTAAAAGCTAAATAAATAGAGCATATTTTGCCATGACAGTTCGATCTCTGAACACGTGCACGCGGTCGGCTCCGCTCTTCGACTACGCGGGGTGAGAGCGACGAAATTCGTGTCGTATAAACGCGCCCTTATGCTGACATTACTGCTTATTCTCTGAAGTACCAAAGGTAATGGCCTTGTTATTCCTTGAAAATAATGACGAAACGTTAAGCTTTTTAACCTGAAAAAATGTTTACTAAGCTTTCTGGTTGTCATTAGACCTGACAAGAATTAAGTTTCTATCTTTTCCACCACTTAAGCAAGACGTTTAACCTTGTCAAGATTAAGCCGCTTTAATTATAAAAGAAAGGCCTCTTAGGTAGGTATTAAATGAATAAGTCGCGTTGTAAAAATTTAATGATAATTACTGGGAACAAAAATGGGTCCATCGCAAGCCGGATTTACATTTGTCTGACGTGTCGTGTCGTGACGCATCATTACGTACATTTAATATGGTTAGATTTATATTAGTGTGTCACAAACTGACTTGACGGCTTGTGTTGTGTTTATGAAACCGATACCGTTCTGACGCGTCACACAAATGTAAATGTGGCTTAATCATCATTTTTGTCGCCGACAGCGTGACGCGTATGTCTTTGCAGAAGCAGATTCAACACTAAATATGGCGTTGACATATTGACGTGAGAGTGGAATTTCTAAGGAATATGAAAGAGACCCATGTAGTGAATCTGTACCATTCAAGCTTTAATGGCTCGATTCCAGATTAAAAACCTGAACTGAAATGTGATTTCAACTCGTTTTACGGTATAAACTCATTTTGTTAATTTTTTGAATTAGGTCACTTTAATGTACTGCCTCCGTGGCCGAACGGTTACCATACTGAGCTGACACGCAAGGTCCCGGGTTTGGATTTGTATTTCTCTGAGTCAGTTTGGGTGTAATTTGTGATAGTCTATGTATTTGTCCATGGCACCCGCGATACAGGGTCTCCGTGGTGTGGGGCTATGAATGTGTGCGTTATTTATTTATTCTAAAGGTGGGAATCAAACTTAGGACCTCCTACAAAGCAACCGTTATCAACTATCACTGCTGTAGTGTAACAATAGCTTTAAATTGATTATGTTTTATGCATGTATAGATTTATGATTTGTGATGCAGACTTAAAATTCAGCAGGTTGATGTCCACGGAAATAGGAAAAACGCGACAATTTCCGGAAAGACCCTTTTTTCACTGAAAAATAAAATCTGAAACCGCTCGTAGTCTTTATTTACTTAGACTTTATTTATTTAGACTGGATTTTCATGTAAATTGTAATTGTAAACCAAGCTAACCTAGAAATAGTGTTAGCATTGCACAACTTACATAAAATCTTTTTTTAAAGGTAAAATGCGTATTAGACCTCGAGGTCGACGATGGAGCATGCACACCAATATATACAGGTTATTGGTATATACTCCGTCCAACTTAGAGGATGGAAAAAAATAAAGGAAAGGAGCTGCCCTGTCTGCAGAATAAACGTCCCTACTTAAACCAAAAATGTCCACCACAAATGGCGGATTTAGTGTTGTACCATAATCATAGATAAATTACTATCGACATTCAAATGTATGGCTTGAATGTTGAAGCTGTTTTTTATGTTTGCAAATTTGTGTAGTTTACTGTAATCACTAGGCTATTATTACTAGGCAAGTAATGAGCCATTTTAATTTTATAAATTTAATTTAAATTAATTTCTTTTTTTATTTACCAATACATGTAACGATGTGATTTCATTATCATATAATCTAGTTACATTCAAAGTTCTATTAAAATTTGACTCTACAAAATGGAGCGAACAAACAAAGATGGTATTTGATTCAATGTTTATGTCCGGTATGTTTAGTCCTATAATTTCCAACCATTCTTTCTTTCTTTTTTCATTTGTAAGTAATCTTTAAAAATAATAAGAATGAAATAATAAAAACCTCGTAGTGAATTGTTTTAATAACAGAATATCGATAATATGTCTGCTGACAAAAACAACACTATCTCAAAATAATCGTTACAAACAATCATCAAAATATACTAATAAACAGGCAATATAAAGTAAATAAAGCGAAATTCGACAAGACTTAGAATAAACTACTTAAATGAGTTTAAATACATGAGATATTTGGGCTATTGTATGATTTATAGACAAAAAATAACATATGTCGGTGTAATGTAAAATTCGGTTGATTTCAGCCTTTTCTGCTGCCGCACCCCTTAATGCCGCAACGACGCATTTTAATCAATACTTAATTGTTCTCACTATCAATGTTTTTGTCCAAATCATTGCAATTCATGCGAATAGTTCATGAAAACATTTGGCCAAACATTGGTTTTGACATTTGATGTAACCGGAGACGGTTATCAAAGGGTACTCCAAAAATGGTAAAATGAGGACAGTTGGCATTTAAGATGACGTTACATATTTTCGATACCCGTGTTTGACATAAATCAATGTAGTGCTATCTCTTTTGGCTTACGACGGCACGCAGTGGTTAAACTCACAATAAAACGTTTATGTTTTCAACGTCTAAATGCATCATATACATATAACGTCTGATTTGTATATGATAATTATATACATGTCCTTTGGTTTCCATAGTCTTATACGTCCAACCGTTCATTTAACTTTTGACAGCTCGAATTCTAATCAATTAGTGATGTACTAATGCATTTCCGATTCGATTTTTCTACAACAATCGATTTTGTTTATGAAGAATTTTAAATCGTGAACGTGAGCGTGTTCAAAAATAAAGATATTGCCTGATTGGGATCGTGATGTTGCGTTTGACAATTTGTGTACTCAAGAATTAATAATTAAAGTTAATGAGGATTCAAGTGATGATTCTCGTTCATATGGAGAAGAATCCGACGGTTCATTATAATAACAAGAAAAAAATATTATAATTATTTATAATTTATTTCATTTCATTATAATGTATTAGACGGGCCAAAATTTAACAACTTGAATAACCTTCGATACATAATCCGTTGGTTCGATAAATATTGGAGCTAAAGAGCACGTCGCTTCACTAAAATGATAAAATAAAATAGTCCAGGAAGTATTGCATTTTTGTGTATGGTTTTATGTCAATAATTACGGAACTTAGGAGGCATGCACATGTCAAAAGTTAAATAATGGTTGGACTGAGTGAGTATAATACTAAAAACCTCGCAACACTATATTACTAACATCATAAACAAAAATTTTTGTTCCATGACTTTCAATAATTCATAAAATTCTACAACCACACAAAAATTAACATTTTTAAATACGCCGCTCTAAATGGCAGTAACTCTGTGCGGTAGCGTGAATACTAGTCCGATGCAAAACGCAGAGACAGAAGTGGAGGTCGGGGAGGACGCTTGAAA